TCTTGATCTATCGTATTATTATTGTTGTAATTTTGTTAATTGATCGTTGTGCTTTGTTTAAAGTACAGTGCCACCTTTTTATCTATTCAAATCGAATCGGATTAGTTGCGAAGCAATGAACCGAATGGAATATTTCCAAAAAAAGTACAGTGCCACCTTTTTATCTATTCAAATCGAATTTGGGACACTAAATTAAGTTTTATAAATTTTATATGAATAATTGACAGGTTTTATTATAGTTATTTTTATGCCTTTCTCTTGTAACATCTAAAATGAAACACGTAAAAAAAAAAATAAGACTATTCAAATCATGACATTTTAAAAAGGATACGTTTTTCAGATTTTTGACCCTTTTACCCTTCATTAATTAATTAATAATTATTTTGTCTCTCATTCAAAACTATCTATCAATCTGCCCCTCTTTAATCGATTAAGTTGAAGATTTAATCGATTAAATGGTCAAAACTGACAAAAATAGTTGACTTGAAGATTTAATCGATTAAATCTTCAACTTAATCGATTAAATCTCCAAAAAGTTAGCAAGTGTTGTCTTATCACTTGAGATAGGAACGAAAGATTTTTTTTTCTCCCCTCCAATTTTTATCATGCTTTCAGACAGGAGTTTATGGATGAGCTTTAATTTTATAATTCCATTTAATGTTGTCTTGTCATTGCATTTAGCATTAGCAAGTGTGTTGACTTTGCAAGCTTGCCCCTAATCAATTGGCAATTGCAGCATCCAAGAGTTAATAGTTAAAAAGGGTTGAAAAAAGAAAAGAAAAGAAAAGGTGTCTGCTGCGTATTTTCCTTCACAAATTTGCCTTCACCAAGTAATAAAAGCAAGTGGGGCCTTTGTTTTCGGACTATATCTATATTGACAATCCAACATAATCAAATGATTGAAACCATAAAGCAAAGCTTATTTATCTACTTTTCGTTTCTTTTTGGAGATTTAATCGATTAAGTTGAAGATTTAATCGATTAAATCTTCAAGTCAACCATTTTTGTCAGTTTTGACCATTTAATCGATTAAATCTTCAACTTAATCTATTAAAGAGGGACAGATTAATAGATAGTTTTGAATGAGGAGCAAAATGGTTATTAATTAATTAATTAAGGATAAAAGGGTCAAAAAGCCTAATTTTTCTCATAGAGTACACAATTTTAATATGTATATATAATCTTTTAAATTTTTTAAATATTTTATGCAAACAGGACTGCAGTGATATCACGATTTAAACGAAGTAATATTTTTTATAATGCTTATTATGTCTGAAATATATATATATATATATATATATATATATATATATATTTTTTTTTTATAACAGAAATATTTTTTTTTAAGTTTTAAGAAGGATCTCTAAGGATTTAGGGAAAAGATTACGTATCATTCATCAATAAAGTTCTCATATTAATCCTCTTTTGAGGATTTTCAAAAGGAATTATGTATCACTCATCAACAAAATTCTCACATCGGTCAGGTAGGGTTTGAACCAACGTCTTCCTTGGATATAGATCAAACCTTTAGCAAACTATACCCACCCGAAGAAAATAAATCTTTTTGTTTCTAAAAAAATTAACATTGCAGATATTGCAAGACCAGAAAAAGGACACGTAGTAGGAGATGCCTATATTCATGAGGTGGATCAAGCTAAACTCTGATGGAGCTTGAAGGGCGAGTGAGTGATAAGGTAGATGTTGCGACAGTTTTCTAAGAACCAGGAAGGCAATACGTATATCCATTTGTTGATGGATTTTTCGAGCTTAATTACCCTCCACATGTAAAAATATTTTATGGAGCTTCAAGGGCAAGTGAGTCATAAGGTAGTTGTTGCGGCAGTCTTTTAGAGAAGAAGAAGAAGAAGAAGAAGAAGAGGAAGAAGAGGAGGAGGAGGAGAAGGAGGAGGATAACAAGAAGGAGGAGAAGGAGGAGAAGATAGGCGAGCAAGTGATAAGGTAGATGAAAGAAGAAGAAGGTAGGCGAGTGAGTGATAAGGTAGATGTTGTGGCAGTCTTCTAAGGAACCAGGAAGAAGAAGTCTACTTGTTTCAATTCATTTTTCTTCAGTTCCACTCATGAAGAACATTAATGCTACAATTTCAAGCATAACATAGGTGTTCATGTTAAAACTAGTGTTTTATTATTGAACTTTTATTAAATCGTATTTTGTATCCTCTTCTTGGTATTATAACCAGCCAAGAATACTCTCAGCACTCGGCATATACATAAGCATCAACATATAGGGTTTTCACAAGCTTGCGCTGATAAACCACACAAGGAAAATATATATTATAAAAGAGCAGAAGCGAATCCTTTTGAGATCATTGCCCCCAGTAGGAAGAGACACAACGGTGATGTGAGCACCTGGCTCCATCTTTGCTATCCACTTGTTGGATCCAGTCATGTCCACCATCGCTACACTACCAGCTGGTGGTTGAGGTTGACGCACTCCAGGGGTGGTGTTACCAATTGGGGATTGATTGGGGTTTGTGTAGTCCAAAGCAGGGGTTGAACTTGTGCTTCCACCACCAATGTAGCCGTATGGAACCCCCTCTTCAGAAACGGTGTCATACTTGATGCTTTTGGGATTGCCAGCTTTGATTTTCTTCCCTGAAAGCTTCAGCGCCAGATCCTTAATCTGCATATGCAGAATAAAAATTCAAATTAGCATCAATGCATTTAAAAGTCTTAATCATGTACCATACAATTAATACATACCATGGAGTCTTAAGGTTAAGGCTTAGGTCATTTTCAAAGCATCATACAATACCTTTACAGCTGGGCTAGTGGAGAATGTACTTGGTAGAGAATACATGCAAGTGGATGACAACAACATCCTTGAACGTGAAAGTCTATATATGTATATATCCTACTATCAACTATGTACCCCCAATGGAAAGCATTTTCTATTTGTAGAAATCTCCAGTAATTTCTATCCAAATATTACTTGTCCAATTTTTCACACAATTTAGAAACATTTGGTTCGAAATAGTTAGGAGAGGCATCATTAGGAAGAAGGAAGAGCATGAAGAAGAAGGTAAACTAATAAGCAAATATAAAGGAAGCAAAATAAAGAAGAAGGTAAACATTTGGTTTGATTTTGTTTGTTTTAACCAAGATGGAAAAAGAAGATGAAAAAAACAATGTTTGTTGAGAGATATGGAAAGAGTATTAAGGACCTGCGACGTGAGACCCTTGACGGCTTCTTTTGTGTTCGGCGTGCCGTTCCCACGGTCATCTTCATCCCCATCAACGGGGGTTGGCTTGGCACACGGATTCATGCACAAAAACATCTTCGCTAAAAAGCTCATCTTATCTTGAACAACAACAAAACAAGCAAACATTTATGGTTAGATTCCAGAGAATGAAAGAGTGTCTGTCAACAGTTGAGAATGGGAATGACATATAGAGAAGAAATGAACCATATCAATATATGTCATTGGTTCTGAATGGATAATAGAACAAAATAAAAATAATAATAAAAGTCATTGAAGGATGAAGTTAAGGTTATCACTTTCATTGAATGAAACAGTGACAGGAAATGGCCATTTACGGTAAACAAAAGCAATGATTAGGTTACAGGGAAAGCGCCGAAATAAAGACCACACAGATGCAGCAATTGAGTTACAATGCAACTAATGAATAACAATGCTCCAAAAAACAACATCTTTCACGTGAAACAAAATGGTCCTAAGATAACTGTAACACCCCAAATTTCTAACAATTTATAAAACAATCTTATAATAAATAAATTGTCAAAATTCTTTTTTTTTTACAATTATAATAATAGAAATATTGCGAAAGCTAATCTAAATCTAATTTGGGGAATGTTACCGCCGCACCTGTACAATGGACAGGTGCAAGGCTAAATTTATTACATTAAAATAAAACCAAAGACTAAAGTTTAAATAAAGGAAATATGTCTTATGCATTTATTTAAATCTCATAAATTTCTAACTAAAGATTAGGATACACACAATAAAACATATAACTACCTAAAGATTAGGATACACACAATAAAATTTCATACACAACGAATCTACAACCACCTAGAGATTAGGATTACCTGGTCTCCGTGTTTGGTGACTTCTACAACTTGGGGAAGAGAAGCGGTTGGTAACCAAAGAAAGATAATAATAAAAATAAAAATTTAAAGTGAGGAGAGAGAAAGAGAAAGTGTAGAGGAGAAGAAGAGTGGTGGAGAATTATTGAGGATTCAGAGTGAATTGGTTTGGTTAGGTTAGGTCTCTATTTATAGTTGAAGTTTTGGGCTCGGATATGGGTTTCGTGCATTTATTTCCTTTTTCTTTATTGATGTATTTGGCTCAGATTTTGGCTTTATACACTATTGACTCAATGCTGACTCATCATATCTAAACAATTTATGTTTGTTGACTCATCTTATCTAAACAATTTATGTTTGTTGACTCATAATATCTAAACAATTTGTCAATCAAACATTAATACATAAATCATCAATCAATTAATAAATCAATTAATCATGATTTATCATCTAATTTATATATATATATATATATATATATATTTTTTTTTTTCACATAAATCAAATAATATTACTATTATTATTATCTTACCTCTTATTATTTTAACTATTATTAACTCATTAATTAAAAATATTAAATACCAATATTATTAATTACAAAAATACTAAATATCATTATTATCCAAAAAATTTATTATTATATTATTATTATTATTTTATTAAAAGAAAATATGGGGTATTACAATAACTCTTATAAAACCCCCTGTGAAAACCCTCCAACTCAGCCACATTGTAACTGCCATAAAAAGACAAAATACTCTGCTCGGAAAGAGAGAGAGAGAGAGAGAGAGAGGATGGAGGTGCGCTTACATATTTTTGACATTTTTGAAGCGAGAAATATACGGTTACAGAAAAGACAAGGATAGCGAGGCAGCGTTTTGAGGTTGTGGTACTTTAACTCCAAGGGGTAGTGGGGTTGGGGTTGACTGCGTGAGGTTTATAAGTGTGACGGAAACTGTTTCGACAATATCAAAGAAGTGGACCTGGGTCCACAAGTTGTCAGGCTTTTTTTTTATCCAATGCAAGGGAGATGTTCCTACGTGGTACATTGTTAGGGGTTTGATGAATTTCTGGTACAGATCGATGGTTAGGATTGGTTCAGGTGAATGCACTTTTTGACAGAATTGAATTTGGAAATAGAAACTTCTCATCCAGCTTGTGTTTTGCTGCTTGTTATGATGTCATCCTTGGATGTTAATTGTGATACAGATCAAAAATTCTTGCAATCACATGATATTCTTCCTGATTCTTCTCCCTGATTCCATGCATGGATGGACAGATAACTATTTTCCTGAGTATCTAATATAATTTTAATGAAAGAAATTGCCAATATTATCAACCGTTTCTCTTACACTTGATTTAAGTCATTTAACTTTTTTTTATTAAAAAAAATTATTTAACTTTTGGCTTTAGTTATAAACTTTTAAGGGGTTTATAAATTTTATGTTACTGCTCCAAAAATTATTTTGCAGCTGAGACAATAAAATATGAGGGCCACAATTTTTTTTTCTCTTTTTATTATCTCGAGCGCTGTGCGTATCGACCCGTGCAATGCTATAGCTAACGAGTTCTACAAATTTTGTGTTGATGCAGCAACAAAAAATTTATAAGCCCCAATTTTTAATAAAAAAATAACATGGCATCGAAATTTTGAATTTACTTTTTATGGTAAGCTAGCATTAAATATATATATATATATATATATATATATATATAATTTTAGATACTTTAAAAATTTGATTGCAGTCATTAGAATCAATTTATACCATAATAAAAATATTTGGGTTATTTATCTGATTAACAAATGTTGGATTCGTTAATTGACATCCATAATTATAACGATCTTAGGGTAGAGAAATTTTTGTCCTATAATTTCCGATACGTTTATTTTAAATTTTGGATACTTCAAAAATTAAACTGCCATCGTGAAAATCAATTTATACCATAATAAAAACATTTGACTTATTTATCCGATTAATAAATGTTAAGACATATTTAATGACAATTTTAACTATAACATTTCAAGGGGTAGAGAAATTTTTATGTACATTTGTTTTTTATTTTTGATATCTCAAGATTTGATTACGATAGTTAAAATCAATTTACACCATATGACTATCGATGGTTAGGATTGGTGAATGCACTTTTTGACAGAATTGAATTTGGAAATAGAAACTTCTCATTCAGCTTGTGTTTTGCTGCTTGTTATGATGTCATCCTTGGATGTTAATTGTGATACAGATCAGAAATTCTTGCAATCACATGATATTCTTCCTGATTCTTCTCCCTGATTCCATGCATGGATGGACAGATAAGAATTTTCCTGAGTATCTAATATAATTTTAATGAAAGAAATTGCCAATATTATCAACCGTTTCTCTTAACACTTGATTTAAGTTATTTAACTTTTTTTTATTAAAAAAAATTATTTAACTTTTGGCTTTAGTTATAAACTTTTAAGGGGTTTATAAATTTTATGTTAATGCTCCAAAAATTATTTTGCAGCTGAGACAATAAAATATGAAGACCACAATTTTTTTTCCCTTTTTTATTATCTCGGGCGTTGTGCGTATCAACCCGATTCTACAAATTTTGTGTTGATGCAGCAACAAAAAATTTATAAACCCCAATTTTTAATTAAAAAATACCATGTCATCGAAATTTTGAATTTACTTTTTATGGTAAGCTAGCATTAAATATATATATATATATATATATATTTTAGATACTTTAAAAATTTGATCAATTTATACCATAATAAAAATATTTGGGTTATTTATCTGATTAACAAATGTTGGATTCGTTAAATGACATCCATAATTATAACGATCTTAGGGTAGAGAAATTTTTGTCCTATAATTTTCGATACGTTTATTTTAAATTTTGGATACTTCAAAAATTAAACTGCCATCGTGAAAATCAATTTATACCATAATAAAAACATTTGACTTATTTATCCGATTAATAAATGTTAAGACATATTTAATGACTTGTAACTATAACATTTCTAGGGTAGAGAAATTTTTATGTATATTTGTTTTTTATTTTTGATATCTCAAGATTTGATTGCGATAGTTAAAATCAATTTACACCATAAACACAGTATCCAATTAACGGTGGGCCGGTGGCCATAATTATAATGGTCCTGAAATGATAACATTCTTTATCGGGTAAGTTTTGACTCGCACGAAAACATGCGTGTACAAATTTTTAGTTAGCAAAGTATTTCCTTTACCAAAAAAAAAGTAAAGTATTTCTTCGATTCTTGTAAATAACTTATTTTCAGTTATCTCAAAATTATGTCGTTTTGAATTAATAAAAGTATTTCTGTAATTTTATTTATTTTTTTATCAAATGAATTTTACTGAAACACCTTTCATTAATTTTCCTAACTTACGGAAACACCCTTCATTAATTCAAAACGACGTAATTTTGGAATCACTTATATCCGGTGACTGAAGAAATACTTTATCCTTACTTGTTTAATTGCGGTAGTTGGAATCAATTTACCCTAAAAAAAAATTGGAAATGATATTGTAACAATCAATTAGGGTTACTATCAATGTTACTACCAATCAATTTCACCGTTAGATCGATTATATGGATCCAACAGTTATATTTATTTTCATCTTTGTATGATTATGATTTCTCACATTTAATGATAACCGTTGAATCAATGTAATCGATTTAATGATAAAATTAATTAGTAATAACATTGATAATAATCCTAATTGATTGTTATAATATCTTACCTAGTGAATGACAATCACAACTACAACGGTCCTGAGCTAGCAAAATATGTTGTCAAATAAGTTTCAGCCCGCCTGTTCAGAATCAATTGACCCTATAACAAATATGTTTGACTTGTTTTCATTATTGGTGATTGGGCTTTGTGAATGATGACATCAACTATTAAAGTCCTAACATAGAAAAATTCTTTGTCATGTAATTTTTGTTTTTCATATTTTGGTGATGAGAATCAACTTACACCATAATAAACAAATTTAATTTGTTTTCCTAACCAATAAATGAGGGCTTCAACGAACTAGAAAATTCTTGTTGGGTAAGTTTTGACCCGCACAAAAGGTTATTTTTTTACACCACGGAGAACATATTTGACTTATTTTTCTTCATTAAAAATGTTGGACCTATTGAATGGCGGCCATAACTATAACGATTCTAAGATTACACTATCCTTTGTCACGTAAGTTTTGACCCACACATTGAATC